GGTGGGAAATGTAAACGGTGAATAAAATGTTTATTTAACAATTAATCTTGATAGCTTGATAAAACGCGAGGAAAGTTTAACGAACGCCCGTGATCGAGAAGAAGACATTGACAAGTCGCGAGCGCACGTTAAGTTCAATGTCAATCGATACGAAATCGCGCGCTGTTCTTATCGACAAAAAGAAATATCGGGGAATTCCCCCCACGAAATTCCGATTTTTCTACAATTCCAGCGTTACTTTTTTTTCTCTCGAATTTCCTGCATTTTTCGGAAGTGAACGAGAAAAATTGGGAAATCCTATTGCAGACAGGAGGCGTCTATCGGGAGCCGAGCCCGCGTGGACGCGAGTATTTGGGATGATTAAAAAAAAAAAAAAAAAGCAATCGGGGTCCCTGGGATTTTCCGGAAAAAAGCGGCAGTCGCTGATCATCGTTTCACTTCCATAAACAACGAAACGCCGCCCGAAAAATCCGGCGCACTCGACAGAAGAGCCGAAAGGAGCTCTGATAATTGTTCGAGTAGTCCCTTGTTTTGACGTTTCGTCGATCTCGTCGGATTTGCCCCCGTTTACCCCTTTCGCCATTTACCCCAGCAATTGTTTCGCGCTATGCACGGAAACTCAGTCCCGATACCGGGCAAATCCTGATTTTCGCATTTGTCTGAAAAAATTTGGCCCAAAAAATCGTTCCGAGCACGATCGAGTAATGAATTTCCCCCGTAAATGAAAAACGTTGACGGGGAACAATTAAAAAGATTAATAGGGCTCATCATCCCTTTCCATATCTGCCGTTTCAGGAGGAGGAAGGCTATGCAAAGAGAAGCACGCAGAGTCGAGCAATTTGGGAGGCTCGGAGGGCGAAATCCCTTTAGGTGAGTCAACCTAGATTGAACCCGGGACTAATTACTCTACGTGAAAGTAATTAATCATTTTGGGGAACTTAACCCTTAATTGAAAACCTATCGATCTGGGCGGATAAAGGTCAGGCCGTAATCCAAAGCGAAGGCGCTCTGCGATAAGCTCGTGGGAAAAAAGAAGCGTAACGAAACATTCAAACAAATCCCCCCTGTAATCGGTAACTAAAATTCCCAACAAAAAAAATTAATTTCAAGTATCACGAGCTGTACCTCTCTAGGAGGCATTTCCCCGGAATTATTTCGAGTACACGACGTAGGTCATGGTCGGGTAATCGCGCGCAATTACCGGCGACGCCCGGGGACGTCGTCGGAGGTGGATCGGGGGTGAATCGAGGGCGAATCGGGGACGTCGTCGCCGAGGGACGCGCGTCCTGACGAGGCCCGAGTCCTCTAGGAATCGCAATCGAGGATTACATTAGCGACCGGCTGAAATGACAAGATATGCAGATGGGACCGGACCGCTCGATTCGGGGGCAAATTCGCCCCCGATGGTCCCGCCGGTTAATAATAATATTTACCACCAGAGGAGGAGATTACAAAAGGAAAATTCCCGGAGGAATAAACGACGTCGTCGTGGCGATTCGAGGGTGCCATTTGGGTCGGATAACGAGGATCGCTGGATTGATCCCCGACGTTGGGGGTGCGCCGGAAATCCACCCCTCGTGAAAGCGACCTTGATCCTGCCCGGCAATAATGGTATTTCTCGTGAAAGCGAGAGGGGAAAATTGGGGAAAAAATTCATGGAGGAGCAGACGACGTGGACGAGTCGTCGGGTCATTTCGGCGATTCGAGGGTGCCATTTGCATAGGACCTGGGACAAAGAGTCCGACGTTAGGGCCCGTCGGAGGGACGATGAAAGTCGGGCACGACTAAAGGGGCTCGTTGTTGCATCCGACGTGTATCGCCTCGAATTACCCGCGGTCGGGCCGAGGGCCGTCAGGTTTATCGTCGCCGGGAAGTTTCACGACTCCGCGGTGACCGTGCGATGTATACGTAGGTCGTACATACCCCTGGTACATATATACTGTTATATACCGCGCGATATTCCACGATGTGTATAATATCCCGCGACGTGCGCGACCAGCTAGAGTGCGGTACAGTGGGCCCCATTAATCCCCGAGTTCCACGCTGCGGTTCCACCCTGGAAGGCGGAAAACGCAAAGGGACTGGCGATGCGTGCGCGTTGCCCCGACGCACGGCTTAACGTGGCCCGCGACACGCCGCGTGTTAATCCCTCGACCGTAATTTCGAAAACCACCGGAAAGACCCCCGTAGAATAATTAAATTTCAAGAAGATTAAATCATGGCGCCTAAAATGCCCCTCGATTTTTATCCCCAAGAGCGAGCCGTCAGACTTCGTGTCGCGAGATATGTACGAAGAAAAAGGTTTAAAAAAAAAATAGATATAAAAAATACAGGGGGGCCCCACGTCGACGGGTCATCTTATCAGTCCCTGCCTATCTCCACGGGGCGAGACTCGGAGTGAGTTACCGGTCGGACACGCCAAGTCTGCACGCACCTCCTCGACCCCCCGTAATTCATCAGAGACGACGTTATATCTGGTAAGGTTATATCCTGGGTAAAAAGCGTGGACAGGACGAGGGAAGCCGCAAGGGGAGAAAAGCGAGTCACGGCCACGAAGCGGATCCATGGGGCTGCGTCACCCCCTGCGTGCACAGCCGCCCCGTAAGGGCGCGGTCGCCATTAATCAAACCCCTGCCCGATGTCATTGGCTGTCGGCCGAAATCGGAACAATCGGGCACCGATCGTTAGACGTATATATATGCGGAGGAGGATATGTACCACGTCACGAGCAGAGAGGGCCGATGCACCGGGTTATCAGGGCGCTTGTTCGAATTGTTTGCGAGATTTAAGAGCCCCCACGAAGGGGACCTTAATTCGCCCTGGTTTTTCGGGGCTTTTCGGATTTTTAATGGATAGCTGAAATCCGGGAAAAATGCCCAAAGCCGATCGGCGGCAAGCAGGGGGAAAGGTGAAAAGAGGGTTTTGATTCGGAGTGGTTTTTTTATGGTGACTTCTGGAGTTCAACTTTTCGGTGAAGTAGGAAATTTCAGGGGAGAAATATCTGGAAATATTTCTGCTCGGTGAATTTAGGGTCAGGGGGAAAGGCAACCAGAAGAGGGGATTTTTGGATGGGGTTTGAAAAGCGTTTTTCAAAACTTTGGGATTTTGGAAAAATTTCCGGGGGCCATGTCCGGACAAATCGCGGCGATCGAACGTCCCGCGCGGGCGCCGTTAATCAAAATCCACCCCCGCTGTCATTGGGTATCGGTCCAAAATCGGGACCGATCCCTTCCCCAATCCCCCCCGTCTCGTATTAAATGTAGATACATCACGTCACAAGCAGGACCGACCGATGGACCGGATTATCGGCGCAGCGAGGGATCTATAGTTATCAGCGCAAATGCAGTCGTCGATAACCGCGACGCGGCACCGGAAGGTTCTTCCAGCGCGAAAGGACTAATCGGCCCGGAGATCCGCAAACTGGAGAACGGAATAAGTTCCTTGCCGCAAATCGGATTTCTTTCCGCCGCAACTGGGTCGAAACGAAAATACGCGAAATACCGTGGATCCAAATCGAAGGATAAAGAACTGTTAGAAATTGATAAAGGATTAACAAAGGATAAGAAGCGCTTCGGCGCCCAGGAAAGACCGAGTGTCGAAAGAAGGCATCGGAGAGTGAAAGGACATCCCCTTCTACGGAAGATTAGTCCTGGGAGGATATCCTTCGGCTTCGAGGACGCGTCTCCCTCTTCCCTCCCCTCGTCGGCCCGAAAAAAAGGCGAAATTACCCGAATCAATTACTCGCGCGGCGCGGTAAAAAGGAGATTAACGTCGGTCCTGGGAATCGGGTGAAGGATGGGTCGCAATTATTCCCAGGAGTCCTAAAGAGGTTTCGGGATCGAATCTCGATCGCCGCGTCGGAAGGGCCATTTTGCCTGGAACGGGAGGAAAATTCGCGGGAAATAAAGGAAGAGGGGTTGCTCCCGGGAGTGCCTGGGAAGGTTCTTTTCGAATCTCGAGGAGGACGATTCCATTTCTCCATTTTTCCTGCCGTCTCGCGTCTAAACGCCGAGATTAATCGGATCGGTCGGCGAGGCAGAAGTCGCGAGGACCTCGTCGTCCTGTCTCGCGCTGTCGGCTCCTGTGCTCCTTTTTCATTTTCTTTTCCTCCTGGACGCGTCTACCCGGAACCGGTCGCGACGTCCTCGGAGGACGGCGATGCTGGCAGGTCCAGGAACCCAAGAAAACCGACCCATCGAATGGTACGGTATGGAATGCGCATCGTGGTGAATAATAAACCGTACATAAAAAAAGTGAAATAATGAATAACAAATGATTAAATACTCAAATCAGACTCGAGTAACTACGTTGAACCAATAAACCTACAAGGTAGTCACGGTTGATAAATTCCAGTTTTGATTTCACCCGATAGCGCGTGAAATTCACCCCCTCGCGTAGCCACCCCCAATCCGGAGGTAAGTCCCCCGCTTTGGTATGCACCCTAGCGTGCACCCTCGCAAGTGCAGTTTCGCGGAAGCGCATCGCGGCTCCTTTCCCCGACAGAAGTCGCGGCGCCATCTTCGTAATTAAAACATCGCTTCGGGTTCACCCTCGGCTCGGCTTTAAGGGAGGCAAAAGGTTTATCGCCGGCTAAGGAGGCGGCCGCTTAACGAACCTTATTGGCCGCCTAACGCGCCGAATGGAATTACAACGTCGTAATTGGCATCGTAATTAGGTAATTGAGTGCTCGCCAGGGCTAGAGCCGGGGGTGGTTGAGCAAGCAAGGGTGGAGGCGTCTCCAGGGGGAAAATCGTCCCACGTCCGGGCCTTAATCGCGAGAACCATTCTCGAGGTTTTCCAAGAATATCCACCCTTTCCAGAAAAAAAATGTATCTCACGAGATAACTTCTCCCGGCGCAAAAAAAAAAAAGTGAAAAAACCGAAAAGACGAGCTCGCGTTATCACGCCCTCGACCTCTCCTTAATGGCGAGATCCATCCCCGGGATCCTCGACTAAGACTTTCCGAGAAATCCATTCGCTCCGAAAAAAGGGAAACTCACCCGATAAGTCGTGCTCGCGCTATCAGGACGCTGCGGGTGGCACCGGCGAAGGCAGCAGCTCTGCAAGAAAACCAAATTTAAATAAATATATACATATTCATATTATTCGATGACGTTGGTTTATCCTCGAGAGGACGAGGGATATCTCGAAAAAAGAGATATAATAGTTTCAAGCATATATGACGAATTTTGGAGGCGCCATTTTTACGGGGAGTCATCGGGGGGATAAATTCTTGAAATTCGAGTGCATCAAAAGAGGATCTTTCGCGTTTTCTTCGGGACATGGGCTCGGCTCGTTGAGGATTCTCCCGAGGAGCGTCCCGGAGGAAGGGAGACGTCCCGGTAAAAAGTGGGAAAGGTGGGAAACTCGGGGAGGGGGTCCCGGGGGGCGCGCAGTAAATCCTCCCTCTATACAGCCTCTGGGCCACGCTCGGCAAGAATAACAGTAAAAACCGAGAACGTAGATACTACTTTGGGCGGTACGTGTCCACGGCAGACGCCATAAAGGTTATGGCATCGCCGCGATCCGATAGTTCCTTCATTTTGTTCCCCCCGCGCCTTCCTTACGTCGGGCGCAATTCCAGTTACGAGGCCACATGCGCGCACTCGCCGCAGCAAGTGCACCGGTGCACCGCTGCACCGCTGCACTCGGCCGCGAGGGCACCCCTGCACATGCTCGCCGCCGCACACGAACCGGCCGCGCATTATGCGGAAGACGCATTGCCATGCGTGTCGAGAATGTGGCCGGAGCAATAAAATAGTTTCGGGCCCCACCTGAACAGGAGAGAGAGAGAGATAGAACGAACGCGGACATGAGCCCGAAAACGAAGAGCGACGTCGAAGAAACCCCGTGCAACTTTGTTTCCAGATTTTTCCCAACCGCTGATAAGCCCTGGAAATGACTTCCTATTTATCGAGCACGAGTCGTCTCGTTACGAGACCCTCGCGGAATAAATTCCGCCATTGCGGCCGATTCTAATAGCTTCCCCGAACCGAGCGGTAAATTCCCCGGTAATTTACGAGCCTTTCGTTAACCGGCCGACGCGACCAGCAATTACGATCGCATCTTATCTCCGTGGTGCATTTATGACGGCCGGTGCGCGGTAAAATCCCGGCCGTCGACGTCGAGGATTTGCACCTTGAGTCCCTTATCTTCGTCGAGTTTGGAAGCGGAATAGAGGATTTTAATTACGGGCGCTCTGCGGCGAGGCGCATCGCCGGGAGTGCATTTGTCGGCGCGAGTGCATCGGGGTGCTTCCACGGGATGCACCGGAGAGGCGACGTCGGGGGTCTTAAACCCTGGTAAATCTTCTCGCGGGCGGAGAAGAAGGTCCGGTACATGTACTCGGGGCCTCGGTACATAGAGCCGGAGTGCATCGGTGCATCGGGGCAACGGCGGCCGTGTTGGGGCAGGTCGCGGCATCGATTTTTCGTTTAGTAGCTAGATATATCCGGCCTGTGAGGGATCACTCGGTCGTTCTTCTCGGTATCGGCTTTGCCATCTAGTTTGACTTTGAGAGATATTTACCGCGGCTGAAACCACGGGACCGACGCGGCATTAAACGCTTACCCGGGGGTGGGTGGGAGGCGATCGATGTTACCCCCGTTATGTGCACCCCCTTTTTCCCGCGACTTTCCCCCGATCGCCGCCGATTCGATATTTCCTCGGGCCCGAGATTTCATAACTCCTCGGGCGAAATCCATGAAAAATCCACTTTCGGAAGGAACTCGGATACATTACTTCTCTATTTATTTCCGCCCTTATTACCCTCCCGGAGTAAAAATTCTCCCCCTCGCTGAACTCCCCGGGAAGATGCTCGGATGCTCTCCTTTTTCTTTTACGGAAACTTATGTCGCGCGCAATTATCGGGAATTATTTTGGGGCTTAACGCCGAATTTCCGGTAAGCGGTTCCCGAGTGCCGCGAGCAATTTCCGGTTTGTTGGCGAAGCTCGTCGCCGAGATCCGCAACTTTTTGGCTCCGTCTCGGAATTTCTCGCCTCTTCGTTAACGACCTGATCCCCCAGGGGTTCGGCTCGTCACGAGACCTGCTCCCTGTCGAAGAGGCCTTAACGAAATCGAGATTCCGCCGCGCGGGATCCGTTAAGGCCGCCTTAACGAAGTCGGAGTCGATAAACGGACGTTAAATCTGGCAGGGACTCCCCGTTAAGCCGCTCCCGCGGTCGCGTTTTATGTATTTGACTTGGTTAGCGTAAGAATCTGCCGTCGTAAATGTCGGTTTAGAAGAACACCCCCGTTACGGGGGATCTCTTATAGAGCGCACGCCTCGAACCGTTATGGTCTCATAAAGCAAGTAACGACGCGGAATCCGGCCACCCCGTGTGTACACAATAGACGGATACAGGCGTTGGATCCGTTAAAAGTAACACCCCCTTGCAAGGTTAAAATCTTCAAACCCGTCACTCCCTTGACATCGTCCTCGGATAAGGGAGAGATAAGGGAGAGACTGATTACAGCGATTTTATGTCCGTATAATGGCAATCGTTAGGGTCGAAAAGTTAAATCGAGTCGGTTGATAAAAATATTTTAGCGATCGGCAGGAGGGTCCTCTGTAAGTTTTTGAAATTTCGAGCCCTGGTCCAGAAACCGAGCCCGGCCGGCGAGCGGAAATCGGTTTTCCGCCGATTGGCCAAACAATGCGTCGTGTTTTATTCAACGTGTTATTCCCCTCGACAACGGTGACACTCAAATTGACCGTGAAGAAGCGCCGATTTGACTGCGCCACCCAAAGCCGCGCCCGGCAGAGCAGTACCCGAACCCTTTGAGCCCCGTAAAGAGAGCCGAATTCGCCCCCCGCGAGCCGGGACAGAACACACCGTGAACACGGTCCACCGATTCGTCACAAATGCGTTTACGCGCCTCGGCAAATCGGACAATAGGTGCTCGCACTCCGCGGGGCATCGCGGGTGGCCGCGCCCATTAAGAGGATATGAAAGGCGCTAAGAAATTTAATCGACGTCGATGAAGTCAAATTCATCTATACCCTTTTTGGGGGTAATGCCGTTTTGAATACTCAAGTGGGAACATAAGCTGGCGCGTCCCAGAACCGACATTTATATTCGAGCTCCTCGTCGGCTCCGGGATATCTCGCGGAATTCAGGGAACACCCGCGGCACGGAACCTCCCCGGGGGCGTTGGGACCGAGGTGATAATTATTTTTTCAAAAACCCCTCATTACGAGTTTTCGACTCGTCCGAGGGAGAAATCCCATTCGTTAATCTCGAACTCGCGGCCCATTCTTTCCGGGCTTGCTCCGAGCGGAGCCGTTTCGGTAGTCTCCCTCGTCGGAGGAAAAGTGAAGAAAAGAAATTAAAAATATAAATTCAATAGAAAAAATGGATTCCTTCAAAGGTGAGTATCCGTCTCGCGGGAAGTAATGCGCCTCCGGGATGCACTCGGCTGCAGGGCGCAGGCTGCACCCCGCGCCAAGTGCATTCGCAGCGCAAAGTTCGACGGCCGGACAAACGGAGCTCGACAAACTTCCCGGGGAAGGATAATACGACAAACGCTCGGAGGATCGCGGATCGATGCTTCCCTTTTCGCCAGCTTCGTCCTCTTCTTCCCGTGGACGAGGTCGACAAAGAGGGGAAGGACAAAAAGGAGGAGCCGGACCTTCGGCGAGACGCTCTTTGTCGCCCGGCTCGGTCGCTGGTTTTGTTTCCTATCCTTTGGGAAATCGGTGGTCGATCGAGGGAATCGAGGGAATCCAGAGAATCGAAAGAATCGAAGGAGACAACGGGACGATAAGGACGCCGTTTGGAAACGAGAGGAATTATCTTCTCATTCTTCGGGAGCCAAGTGGTCGGATCGAGAGGCCCCTGATAACGGGGATGGGTCATTTTTTATCCCCAACCTGGCGCGACCGATCTCGAGATATTTGTAATTCCAGAGTTCTCGTCTCGCTAGAGAATGAGTTTCGCGTATACGTCCCTCGAACGGCTTTACGAACGACGCTACTAAAGTGCGCGAGTGGGCATCAAATGGCCCGGAAAAGGCACGCTGCACCCCGCGATCCCCCACGGACCCCCGTCGCGCGCACCCCTCTTCGTCTATCGGGTTCGATTAAATTTCGGTGCCACGGGGTACTAAAGTTCGTTCGCCAAGATCCTAGACTTGGAATAAAACCCAGAAAACGATCTAATAATTTTAAACGAAATAAAAAAAAGTAGGGTTAACATTTTCGGTTTCAACAGGGAAAACGTTGTAGGCGTCGCGAATTCGCGAAGTCGGCCATCAGGGGAAAGAGGAATGGAGTGGCTCGCGAGAAAGGAGGAAAAACTCGAAGAACCGGGTCGAGACGAGCCAAGATGGCGCCTTCGGACAAGGACCCTCCCCGTCCTCCGGAGTTTCTGCAAACGCCCTTCCGGGCCGCGTCAATTTTTAATTTCCTCTCTGCCCGGCCCCGCCGGACCCCGATAATGCGTCATGTCCCGGCCGCAAACCCGCGCCCGGTCGGGAAATGGGTGGAAAACGCGACGGGGGCGGAATATACGCGTTTGGATATACGAGGGGGTGGACTCGGGGAAGGTGAGGGGAGGGACGAAGGGGCGTTATACGATCGACACCTTGCGCGAGAGTCCGCGGACGGACGTCAAATGGCCCGGAAAAGGTGCCTTTTCGCCACCCTCTTCGACCCCTTACATGCATCCCCACCCCGGATTTCGGTGCCCCGGGAAAGACCTTTCCTTCCAACCTTGGAAAGGAATAAAGGGAATACGGAGAAAATCCGCCGGAAATGCGGATCTCAGAATTTTGGAAAGGCGGTTTGAGGGAAGGGATGAAAAAAAAACATTTTTTAACGGGGTAATTGGGCCAGAGGTCGCAGGTGAACGCGGTGTCTCCTTTACTTTGGACAGGTGGAAATGGGGTGCGGAAACGGAGAAGCCGGGAAATGCCGGTAAACGGGGGAAATTTGTTGCTCCTTGGGCCGAGGTGCCCGCTCCTTAAACGGAGACTCTGCCTGCTGCATCCCCGAAGACGTCGGCGATGCAGCCGAGGTGCACCCAAGGTGCAAGACCCGAGATTGCATTTCGCAACCGA